CACACACAGACAAAATGACACTTTCTGTCTTTTCCCCAGAGGGCTACTAAGGACGACTGAAATTCTTAGGCAATTTGAGTGTCCGGGGTGGGGGGGGGGGTTTGCCAGAATGTGCCAGAGAGGGCTTGCCTCATGGTGGGTCCATTCCAGTTTCCTCATGCGTTTGGGGGACATTTTATTCACCGAGCTCATGTTCTGTACCGGGCCTAATAGCTTAATGGACAGGACCTACACCTGTCAACCTGAAGGTGGCGCTGTCGACGCATCTGTGCATCACCTGAAATGGCTGGGGCTCACAGGCGCCGATGCCAATCACCGGCCGCCCTAAACGATCAATTATGCAATTAGAAGAAACGTTCCAGTTTTGCTGCATTTAAGGAGCTGTGATTCAGCCGTGAAATGGCACAGCGATTTAGACAAACGCACGGCTACTTGCAGATCCGACAGTCGGTACGTCTGGTGAATTATTCACCATTTGTTTTGGTTACCGGCTGCCGCTGGCTGACTTGACCTTTGCCATTAAGCTGCCCCCCCTCCTTTCTGTCCGTGTTCATTTTACGATCGCTTTACGATCGGAACCGGCATGGGCAATCCGGCACACCGGCGAAGACGCACTTCACGCCTTTTTCATTCGATCGCTCTCCCACCGTGCTTTGGGCCTGGGGGTGCCCCAGAAACCATGCCCACCCGTGGTTTATCGGGAGATTTATGTTGGCCGTTGCGGGTTGGTTTACGGAAAATGCTGACCCGCTTCCAACGAGTGACCGACACGTTCCGGTTGAGTGGGAAGAATGTCGCTATGGTGATGGCAGTGCTGTGGTGTTCCGCTTCCACCAGAGTCATGGGCCTCCCATCCAATCAGAGCCGCCCTCGCTTCCGTTTTGCTGACGAGAGCGATGCGTCTCTCGGTGGGGGCTCCGAAGGGCGGGCAGCCCCCCGGCCCCCCGTCCCACTTATCTAAGTAAACCACTAGGATTGAAGCCCCCCCGCCCCCCCCCTCGGCTGACCCACATAAAAAGCTAGATCTGGGCTCCGTGTCGCTCCTGACAGGAGCTGCTGAATTGCTCTTTTAGTTCACACATGCAGAAGCGGCACGTCTATGAAAGGAGACACGGAGTCACTGTGGAGATAGGAGCCCTGAACCTCGCACCCTCTCAGCTGCTGTCTAACAGGGTTCATGGGCGGTCAGCACGGCCCATAGCAAAGGAGGCGGGGCCTCCACTACTCCGGGTCGATCATGTGCTGCAGCCGAGCACTTCCGGGCACTATTGAGAACAGCACCCCCTGGTGGTCGTGACGCATCCCTGCAGATGCGGCTCCATTAGCTGAAGCGGGGGCCTGTAATGGACCGCGTGGAACGGGAAAATATGAAAAGGTGTTCGATTGCGATTGGCGCCGAAGCTATGTAATAGCTGCTGTAATTATTATGGAATGGAATGTGGAAATGGCTTCGTCCAACCTTCATCATTGCAATCTTTGAGCTGCAAATTTCAGCCTCTTGTCCTCTTTTAAGTTACACACCAATTCCGACCGAACACTTCTGGTCTGCTTTCAGTGGAGTGGCCAGTAATTATTTGAAACACCTAACGTATTAATCGGCAGAAATACGTCCCAGTGCGTAACATAAGTACCTTTTTGATGAAATACTTTTAAAACTCAAATTGATTGTAATGAATGTAAATCCGGGAATACAGCAGTGACTAATCTAGTGTTTTAATGTGTTTTAATGCCGGCCTGATTAGTGACTGAAAACTGAATTTTATTTAAAGTAAATTACAGGTCTTCCATTTAGAGGGTGTTATTCTGCCGCCGGTGGGGGGGGAAAAAGCGGATGTTTCCTGCATTTTTCACTTTTCCCTCCCGGATTAATTTCCGTTAAAAGGCGGAACGTACGAGTATTTTAAAGATTCGTATCAGACAATAGTAATATTAATGGGGCGAGCAGGGTCTGTTTGTGCTGGAAAGAGCTTTTATGATTAGACTGCTTATTTATTAGGATGTTTTATTATTAGAGCGATAAGTGAAAGGTGAGATGCCTTAGTCACTGACTTGCAGGTGTCAGGCAGGCCGGTTTGCTGCTGCCAGGCAGCGGTCAGTGGCTGTGTGTGGCTCGTCGGGTTACTTGCCGCGCTTGTGTCCGGAAGGTCATGGGGTCAAATCCCAGTGTCGCTATTTGCTGTTGGCCCCCTGAGCAAGGCCCTTAATGCCTCTCCAGAGACGGGCGACTTTTCTTTGGATGAAAGCGTCTGCTAAGTCAATTTAAATATGTCTCTGCGCCGCGTGTGTGTGCATGTGTGTGCGTGTGCGCGTGTGCGTGACTGTACCTGCGTCTGTGAGGCTGACCCTCCCCCAACACCTGCTCTATCTTGACAAATGGATCCTGACAGCTGATTTGCTGCTTGTCAGGGTTGGTCTGGGTGAGGCTGATAAGGTGCAGGTTGGGTCGGGGGGGGGGTCCTGCGGCTCTGTGTTTGGGGGGGGGGGGTTTCCATAGAGGATGGGGTTGCGGGCCAGAGCGAAGGCGTCCCCCCCCCAAGGCTCACGTAGCCCCTCCCTGTGGTCACGCTGTCCTTTCTACATAATTAATTAGCAGTTAAATTTTAAGCAGCCTGTGAATAATGAGCGAGCCGGTGAGGCCACGCAAGAAGGGGCTCCGTGTGACGCGGGGGGGAGGGAGGCACTCAGCGGGTGGGGCTCGCACCCTGGGCCAAAGCAGGCCGGGCTGGCAAAGGAACAGTGCCCGTTTCTGTTGCCATGGTGATGGCCTGTTCCTCACTGGATGGCAGTGTGTGCACACAGTGTCTGGTGTGATGTAACGTAACCCCACCTCTGTGTGTCGTGGGTGGTTCGGCGGGCTCTGGGAATCTCATTAGGTCTGTCTAGAGTTCCATGCCCCCCCCCCCTCTGAGTCTGGCCTGGGGGTTCCTGTGATGCCCCTGGGTTCACTTTAAAATCATCTTCATGTGACATCATCTAGGTGACCATGTCCAGTTAATAACCCCCCCGTGTCCCCACCCTACAGGATTCGGCTTCGTGACCTTCGAGAGCGAAGACGTTGTGGAAAAAGTGTGTGAGATCCATTTTCATGAGATCAATAACAAAATGGTAAGTCCTTTGGGGCCCGGAGACTTCGCTGTAGGTCTGGGGCAACCGAACTAGAAGGGTGTCTAGCTGTGTCACGTGATCAGTGATGCTGTCTGAGGGTAGACCATCCCAAAATGGCCACACCCACTTCTAGGACATTAGACTTGCACCTTCATGATGAAATTTCAAGAAAATTCTGAAAGTCTATGTAGGCAATACTGTGTAACACTGAACGAGGGAGGTGACAGAGCATGTAACAGGGGAAGAGGGGAGGTGATAGGGCATTTAACAGGGGAAGAGGGGAGGTGATAGGGCATTTAACAGGGGAAGAGGGGAGGTGATAGGGCATTTAACAGGGGAAGAGGGGAGGGGATAGGGCCTTT